CTTATGACAACCATTTCAAGGATTCTTTAGGTATAAGGTACTACAAGTGGTTTATTTATCCCTTCATCTGGGGATGCTCTGGGACCATATAGCTTGCCCAAGGCCATATGGACTGGCTCTTGTTCTGTAAAAGCACAGGGGAAATTGAACTCCCAACCCCAGGTTTTATCACCAGGTGCCCCATCTCATTGAGTTATGCAGCAAATGATGTATATTTCATTTATGAACTAGCTTTAGATGTTAGATGCTGGCTTTTTTTCTTTTTAATTATATCTTTCATGAACTGTTTTTAATGCTTAGATTTTGTCACATTTTGTTTTCTACTGTCTGTAAAAAAATCATGGGCATATCTTTGGGGAAGAACATAATGATGTTGGCCTTCGTTAAGGAAATTATTAAATACCTCCCACAGTATTGCAGTATTCCAGTCCTTTTTCCATAGTCCATAAAACTTAGTGAATCACTTCCAAAGCCCTTTAATAACCTGACTCATAAAGTACCCTCTAATCAATAGCTAATATTTCCTTCTGGATTTCATAGTACAGACACCACTGGAGTGAATATGAAGAAGGAAAGCATGAAAGGAAACTGGAGTTTATTATTCCTTTTGCTTGAGGTCATTTGAATGTAATGAAGCTCTTGAAGGATCAAATTATCATATGGAAAACTGGAATGGCAAAAGCAAATGTTAAAGCAAATAGATTTTTTCCCCTCACACCCTTTTTTTGTTCCTGTCCTTTAGATTAAAAAAAAAAACCCAACACACCACTCTTTCCTATAATGGGATTTTGATACTGGGGAAAAATAATTCATCAGCCAACTGCCTAGTGTTTGTCAGATGGGACAGCAGACTTTTAATGGACTGTCAACCCCAAATAGATAATATTTTCTGTCATTTGTTGTAGCAATGCAGTGTTGACAGTGTCAAGTTTCCTTTCCTCACCTTCTCTGCTGTCTCATTATCAGGCCATGAAATGATTTACATGAAAATAGGATATTTATTTCACACAGGTTCTTTAGCTCTTGGTGGCTGCCTTCCATGATAAGTAATCTTAATCATTTCCATGGCAACTGACTGGGACTGAGGAAAGGCAGAAGTAATTTTAAGATGGGAGCTTTTGAAAACTGTTGGCTGCTGTTTCAGTTTGGAGAGGATAAACAATGGAAATGCCAGCCAGCTACAGAAATGAACTGATGTTGACACATATGTATGGAAACCCTGAGAGCTGAACAGCAGAGAAGCACAGAAAGACCTGATAGGTTTGAGGCACCAACCCAGCCTTTTAAAAGTTGCTGGATAACCAGCAACTAGGAAGAGAGAAAAGAAATTTCTAGCAAGGTATCTTAATTATGCCCTAAGCAGAATAATTCAGTCATTTGGAATAGTACCAGTGTGCCCTAATAATTCAGTCATTTGGAATAGTACCAGTCATTCTACAAAAGTGTAATTTCTCTGTGTGAAACTAGGAAGATGGGAATTTTTACATATTATGTATCTGGAATTATGCTAACCAACCGATTATATAATATTATGCCAGTTGCTATCACATTTCCTGCTGGTGGTTCATTTATGTAAGGATTTGTTTCTTCCAATATAAATAATAACCAAAACTGTGAAATGCGACAATTAAGCAGTCTTCGGTAGATCTAATTAAAATACCAGAGAAGACTGCAATCAATGTGTGTCATTTTGGTGGGGTATAGTAGAGGCCCTGCCTAATTGTGGATGCTCAAGGTTTCCTTCTCATGGACCAGGAGGATTCTCTCTGTTTCTTTTCATAATATAGTCACACAATGGCATCTGAAAGCTTGCCAGCATCATAGAATTTAAAACAGGCCTAAAAAACTATTTAATTGTTGAGATCCAATAGATGATTTTGTTCCAATATGGAGGAGATATAAGAAAGCAATTACATTTTGAAAGACTAGGACATGGACAGCTAATAAAGCGTTTCAATTACGTTTTACATCAAACCCGACACTACATTTATTGAATTATTTAAAATTGACTATCCTGTTCAATAAACAAGAATACACATGAGAAATCAGAAGTGTTCTTGTATTTTTCAGAGTAATTCATTTTTATTTTTCATAGGCTTTGGACAAATGAAAGCTTACGAAAAATAAAAACTGCTAGTCTTTAAGGTGCTACAAGACTTCTAGTTTCTCTTGTGCTACAACAAACTAACACAGCTACCAGGCGGATTACCCTTTTTTTGGTAAAAATATACATGTTTTGCACACAAATTATGATAAATATACTTGCAAAAACCTAAACGAATAATCAAGACAAAACTAAATGAATACACAGCAAGTAAAATGCAGATTCACTCATACTGACTCATTGTGCTGGTGATTTAAATGGCCACACAGAGAGATAGGAGAAAAACCTTGTTTGCTGTTTGTTTGTAGCTCTGTTGAAGACCTGTAGGCCGGAGGCATGGTTCAAAGAAACTAGTTTAAGAAGTTGTAACAAAGCTTTCTTCTTCCTGTTTCCACCTCTTGTTAATGTGTGTGTGTACACACACATTTAGATGCCCTAGTGCATGGTCCAACCCCTGGTCCATGATCTGGCAGCTGTCCGTAGCTTAGGCAGGACTGGGCCACAGACACAAATCTCCTCCCCCCCCCCGTGAGTGCACATGCACCCAAGCACACTCCACCCCCTGCAAGCACAGCACGTGCATGCATATGAGACCCCCCACAAGTGCACCGTGCACATGCACACTACACCCCGGTGAGCATGCCACGCCCCCTATGGGCAAACCACACCCCTGTGAGCATGCCATGTCCCCCGCACACACCCCAAACTGGTCTGTGGTTGGGAAAAGGTTGGGGTCCACTGCTTTAGTGCATAAGCACTGGGACAAAGCTAAGGTTTTTTAAAAAGTGTTGCTGGTTTCACAAGCTGTTTGTAAGCTGCAAAAAAGATCTTCCCGAGAAACATTCTGCTCACTCTTAGGTGTATATATAAAAAAGGAAAGCCTTGCTAATGGGCTTCACTGGTCCTGAGTGTGTGCTGGTGGAGTGGCTTTTCTGCATCCATTCAAGCAAGCATTCATCTGAACTGATGTCAACTGATCCATTTTTAAGAAGTAGAAGCCCCAGCAGAACATGGAAAATGTACTGATTGATGTGGGAGAGAACTCTGGGAAAATTCATATTTCCCTTTGTATTGGGTGGATCAACAGAAAAAAAAATACAAATCACCCCACGTGTAGAATTTTTTGCATTTTTCCCCAGTGTTGTTGTACCCTAAAAAACATTGGACCAGCTAGTAATGGTCAGCTCGATTCCATCTCAACAGCACAGACGAAAATATAATTTTGTATTCAGAAAGTGGAATGCAATATAACCTGCTTTGGAAAATGGAAGGGAAAGTGAAAACGGTGGCATACAAGTAGGTGTGTTTGATCACTAATATATGAGCTGCTGCTGGAAGGCATGGACTAGAGCAGCGGTCTCCAACCCTCTTTGGAACTGTGGAGGGTGGGGCACCCCCAGTGCTCATGTGGGCGCGTGTGCTCTCTTGGGCGCATGCGCAAAGCGGTGGGCGTGCTCTCTTAGGCGCATGCGCAAAGCGATGGGGAGGGCCTGCCTGCCTGCCTGCCAGTGTGAGCGCTCCCCCACCCCTTTGCGCAGGAGCACCTGTCTGTCTTCCTGCACACCCATCCACCCCTTCTCTCGGGCGCATGCATGAAGAAGTGGGGGACCACTCATGCTGGCGCTGACACGAGTGTGTGTGTGCAAAGCAGCTGTGGGGAGGGGATGCATGCAGGGGGGAGGTCTGTCTCCGCGACTCAGTCCATGGACCAGCACGGGGCCATGGACTGGGGGATGACGACCTCTGGACTAGACTGAATATGGCAAGAGCAGCACTGTTATTCTATCTGAAAAGAACGCAGCCTTATAGAGTAGCCCCGTTAGGCCCCGGCTCTTCACAGGATCCAGGAAAGCATCAGTCAGACACTGTCCATTTGTTAAGAATTCCAGAGCCTGGGAAAATTACATTAGTGGACTCCAGCTTCCAGAATCCCCCAGCTAGTATGGATTCTTGCCATGCTGACTGGAGAATTCTGGCAATTGCATAACTCAGTGGTTCTTAACCTTGGGTTACTCAGGTGTTTTTGAACTGCAACTCCCAGAAACCCCAGCTAGCACAGCTGGTGGTGAAGGCTTCTGGAAGTTGCAGTCCAAAAACGCCTGAGTAACCCAAGGTTAAGAACCACTGGCATAACTAATACAGTATACTGAGCTGGTTCCAGACAACAAAAAGCATACCATACTAACACTTTAATACCAACTTAATTGTCATGGCTTCAGCCTATGGAACCCTGGGGTTTGTAGTTTGCTGAGGTACTCTGAATTCTCCACTGAAGAGCTCTAGTGCATCTACTGAATAAGAACAAAGAATTTTAAGTGCCTCATCAAAATACAAATTACAGTATGTCATAGGGCAGAGTTGTGGCAGTTAAAAGCCTAACTGCTGTTATATACTCTTCGACAGAGTGTTTCAATATTGGAACTTCTGATCTTTCCTATGCCTGCTGGGATCTTGCCGACTAAGGCAAGTTGGTTGGTTTGCCTCACTGTGAGGTTTTTCACCTGGGGCTGTGAATTCCAATTTTATTTAGACCATCTCCAAGTCTTGTCTGATCAACTACAATGATATCAAATACACAGAGGGCCTTTCACTGATTCAGTGTATACAGATGGGAAAGGAAATTAGAAAACCCTCCAAAATTCTTCTAGACTTTGAAAGTAAATGAAATTTCGATGACAGTCTCATACACTTCAACATACATATAACAAATCCACATGTAGAGACTGTCAGACAATTATTTTGGCTGACAGTAACGTGGATGTAGCTGTCAGCCTTACACACACTTTACTATACATACAAGCCCATATGCGAAATCTGTCAGGCAATTATGTTTCAAAACAGTTTTTATTTTTCTGAATTCACATGTGACAAAAGTCACAAAGTTAATCAAGTGCTTGGATATTGGCTCACGTCGTAGTGATGAAGTTGTTTTCAGAAAAAGAATTCAAAGTTCTTTTCCATAGTAGGTATAAAGGATTGTATCACTCTTCTCAACAATGTTTACAGTGATAAGTCTTGAAAGACTGTCAAGTTGTGTTCCTGGATGTACTGAAGCAGGATCTGTCCTCTTCTGTCAATGGTTTGAAGCCATTGTTTCAGTTCTGCCGACCCACCTTGATCTTCCCAGAATTGCTGATCGACATACAGCGATTGTAAAAGCAGGTTTTGTAAACATCCTGACTTGAGCACAGTCACAGCTGTCTCAGGAAACCTGATAAAGAGTATTAAATAGGCAAGAAGGGGGAGGAAGAAATTTAAAGCACGAAAGTAGGGAGGTTAACAATACACAAAGCAAACATACTTTGTGCCTCAGACATTCAAATTTATCTACTTTGGGTATCTCATGCAAAGAAGATATGGTTTCATGGCTAAGAGATTTGCTTCAATGGAAGGGACATAATTTATCTACTGAAAAACAGCACCTGAAGCAGCTTGAAGACTGAGACTTTATTTTGCCACATTGTCTAAAAGTATGGAGTGTAATCCATGACAGTTTGTAGTGTAATACACTAGTTCATATTTAAGATTTTATTTTATTTTACAGGGTAGGAAGGAAATGTAATCAAGTGCATATGAAACTGGCTGACTTTCTGCTGTAACACTTGCCAGCTGCCTGCCTTACCCATCTATGCCTTGCAGGAGCCTGAAATCAAGTTTTGCTTCTGGATGAAGAAGTCTTCCTGCATTGTCAATAAATACCAACTGAGAAGGCTTGTTCCTCTGGATCTGGAAAAGAATAAAACCGAGTAGTCAACTGAGGACATGGGTGTGTAGACTACCAGAATAAAAGATAAAGTTTTAGGACCTTTGGGGATACAGTATTTCCTTTACTGTTCAGCCCACACAGGGTTGCACATTTTCCAGCAATATTTGAGGCTGCAGAAGTGGAGAGAGGGGAAAGAGAGAGAGAGAGAGAATCCGAAGGAATGGAGTGGCAGTGCTCCAGTCTGGTTAGGGTTTATGGAAATACTGACTTTAAGTCAGATTTGAAGTAAAATAAGGGCTTTGAGAACTAGAATAGTTATGGATAGATGTTCTCAAGTACACTGCTTCCTTCACCTTGATCTTCATTCAAAATTGGCTTCAGATAATCTAAACCTGAGCCTGCTGAGAATTTAAAGACTGTTTAAAACAAGAGCATTTAGAACTCACTCATACCTGCTGCAACAAAGCTCTTGGTAGAAAATGCCATTGATGCTTCAACAGCCTTGAAAAGCACTGATGTGCACTTTTGCACCACTGATGAAGATGGTTTCTGGAGCAGTATAGGAAAAATCTTCCAGGAATTATTCCTTTAAGAAGTCCCAGTGAAATGAGTGGGGGCTGTATAAGAGCACTGCTGTAGAGCAGCAGCCTTAGGATCTCCCCCTACCCATTTAGAGCTGCATCCCATTGGAAACAATCTGTCCGGGGCTGAATGACAGTTGTGGTTGGAGTTGAACTTGGTAGGGAGAAGGACCTGGAGTCAGAATGGAAAGTAGGTAGAGACAACCCTGTTTTCCTGATCCCTCACCCTCCTTCCATCTCCCTTCTCTTTTTCCCCAACACCCTTTCTCTCTCCCACCCATTCACTTCTATTCCCCTTCTTGGGCAGTGGATTGACACAGGAGGAACTGATTGCCCTTTCCAGCATCTACTTGCAGAGGACTTTTGGAAAGGATGGAAAAGTTACTTGTTTCACCTATGTCTTCTGTTGGAGTATGCAGATCAATTGTGTCCCAGTATGCAGTGGGGGAATTCTGCCATTCACTCAGTTCTACCCTGCTATTGGGGCACTATTGTGCCTTGGTCAATTCCTGCCCCATCTCTCTCTTTTGTGTGCCTTCTTCCTCGAAGATGGGCCTTTTCCCAAGATCGAGATTGCCTGAGCACATGCTATCTGATGGCTCTCTCTCCATCCACACTTGCATCCATGCCATCCAGCTTTAGGGGCTGGTTTACCCAGTTTACAAACATTCATCAAAACTAAAGAAACTTGCCTGGAATATGTAAGACAAATGCTTCTTTATTTTTCCACTCAAATGCTATATTTTGATGTTAACTGCTGAAATACTAAAGTCTGTAGTTAATAAACCTTTTTCTAAAGTTATTACACGTTAACCATGTTTTTGACTCTGTACTTATTATCCTTGAGGATAATTCATGAGGACACACAATGATCTCTAACACCCTCAAGCATTCCTTAGCCAACATGGCAAAAAAAGAGTAACTTTCCCAAGTTCTGGGCTTTTAAATTACGCATTACCTTGAGTTTCCTTTCAGGAAAAGTGGCAGACTATAGGCTTTCAAAACAAGATATAATAATAATAAAACTAAGGACAGCAGATTGGCTGCTCTTACTAGTTAGTAATATTTATGTGCTGGCAAGCCAATTCTGATTCCTTGTGAGCTTTTTCAGGGTTTTCCAGGCAGAGAATACTCAGAACTGATTTACCATTCCCTTCTTCTGGGGGCATCCTGGGACGACGCAGCTTTCCCAAGACTACACAGGCTGGCTCTATTTTGCAAGAGACACGATGGGGAATCAAACTTCCAACTTCTGGCTCCTCCACCAGATATCTAAACCACTAAGTTATCCAGCCAGCTACTCTTACTAGTCCACCATTGTTATCCTGGGAAGGCAGTAAGCCCATTGATCTGGAAAATGTGCATGTAGGCCACCATACTGATACAGTACAATCAGTGGCGTATGGTGATCCCAATGTTGTGGGGGCTGCGAATCTACTCCAGATATCAGTTCAAATGTTGCAGGAGTGATCCAAGGTGATGAACCCCCCCCCCAATAAGTTTAGTAAGATCATGCTAAAACCCAGAGTAGTTTTGTTGTCCCCAAATTACTGGAATCATGGCCCCTACTGGTCAATGGTGAGAATTATGGGGGTGGAAAGCCAAGAAAATCTGGAGGGCCAAAGGTTCCCCACCAGTCTCTTACATGAATGTGTAGAAACTGGTTCAGGTCTAACTGATTTCCAAACATCTACCTGTACAAAATAATGCAAGCTAAGCAGCCTAAATACACAAAGAAGTACTTGCACAGTACAATGCAATTACTCATCATAACACTATGATGTTGTTCTTAGCCGGACATGTTTCTTCCACTCCTGGATAGCACACACACACATGCTTGTTCCTTCATCTGTAATCATCTACTTTCATCCCAAACATTTCTTTTGACATTTTACCCAGCTAGCTGGCAGAGAGAGATAGCAAGAAGCAGGCAGGCATGACGAGGCCACTCCATAAATCAGTGAGGCTAGAACAGAAACAGACACAGTCAGTGAGAAATGGCATACCAAGATATGAACCAAAAACAACTCTGCAGGGTTTCGGCATTTCTCATGGAGCATTTCCTGAACACAGGGTTCTGAAGGGTCTGGCTGAAAGCCACAGCAGTATCGATCCAGACGGTCATGCACCTGAGGGAATGGGGAAGATTCACAGGCATCAGAGTTTCATAGCTGCAATGTCAGATAGAGCAGACCTTGGAGGCAGCTCATTACAAATAATCAAGTATAATGCCTTCTTCTTCCTTCCTTCCTTCCTTCTTTTCTTTTGACAGTAACTATGGTATAACTATACTATAATTGCAGGGCAACAAGGAAGAATTTCAGCCTTTGCATAGTATAAATGTAACTGTTGTGCAGTAGTTAATTTTTAAAGTTAAAGAATGTGTGGCCTTACTAGTTACCTTACCTGCACGAACAGGTTATAGCATTTTTTAAAATAGCATTTGAATTTTTAATAACAATAAACCATTCCTTTTAAAACTGTTATAAGGATAGCAACAAATTATTAACTAGAGTGTTAATAAGGTACAGTGGACCCTCGACTTACAGACGGCTCGACTTACAGACTTTTTGAGTTACAGACTTCTCTGGCCGCAAAATTTAGGTTTGACCTGCAGCCGGAGAATCGACCTACAGAACAGAAAAAACCAAAATGGAACAAAAATAGAACAAAAACGACCGGTTATGGGATTAATTGGTTTTCAATGCAGTGTAGGTCAATGAAGACTCGACCTACAGACTTTTCGACCTGCAGCCACCGTTCCAATACGGATTAATTCCGTAAGTAGAGGGTCCACTGTAATGATCCTGCCTCCAATAAACCCTCAAAGCAGTGAGACAGAGACTATTCCCAGTGTGCAAAACAAAAATTTTCTGATACCCATGTGGCAACTCTGGGTTCTTCATTTTTGGAGATTACAGTCAGATGGGTCACACCCTAATCTAGGAGCTGGGTTCAAATCCCACATCTGCCATAACAATATATACTGGTTACTTTTTTCTGTGCCATCTATAAATGAAGAAGTGGGAGGAAGGGGAAGCAAATATGCAAGTAATGAAATATTTCCCACATTTAGGGTCTATTTTTTGCTTGAATTGCTTGGTAGTGAAGAATACTATGTTCAGTGGGGCTTCAAAATATGAGTCAAACTGAACTATATGGTTAGCATGCTGTTACAAGTGGGGCTTTTAAAACTGCTGAAATACATCTGTTTGCCATAACAAATGGTTTCACTCAGCCTTTCAGCTGTTGTTTTTTTCAGGGGGGTCATGCAGTTCTGGTTGCTCAGGAAGTTACTTCTAAGGGCATTCTGGCACTGGAGAACCAAAATGCTATCAGGATGGGAAGCCAGCATCTCATGTAGAGATGAGACCCTAAGGCTAAGATTGCCCTGTTTCTTTCAAACCACTGGGGAAGTATTGAAAGTACAGTTCCTCCTGCCCGGCCCCTTCTTAGTTCTCTTCTTGCCCACTTCCCTTCCTGTGCAGAAAACCCAGTTAACAATCATCCTTTCTCGGGACCTGGTACAAATGTGTAATGTGGTCCACTTTTCTACACAAGAGGCCTTGACTCATTTGAAAACAAACTGGACAATTTGGGGAGCTTTCTTTAAGTTTGTTCTAAGTTTTAGTTGCTTGGTTTCTGCAGACAGGCAGAAGCCTCATTTGGGTGCCTGTATTTCCTCAGTTACCATCCTTGCCATTCCCATTCCCATTGTTGGGCAATGGCACTGCTGGGGTTCTGGAAATCCCAGCCAAAATGTCCTCCATTAAGGCGACATTATCCAGTTCCCCACCCTTGGCAACTTCGTTATGCACTTGCTTCTATTTCTACTTTATCAAGTAGCAGGTAGGGACCAAACAGTTCAGTCCCCTGTTGGTGTGTTTCAATGTTAATTCTTTTTACTGAGATTACTTGGCCCACAGCATAACCCAACAACTTCTGTGGGGAAAAGAAAACATTTAAAGAAAGCCCAACAGTTCATTTTCTGCCACTGATCATTCTCCCACCATGTTTGCTCCCTCCTTATCAGGTGGTACACAGCCACAAAAAAAAGTATTTTCCCCTTTTTTTGTCAGAGTGGGCACTATTATAGCATGCAGTTCCCGTTCTGCTCTCTCATCTTAATGTTGCCATGGATGTTTTTAAAGGCATTCTTTCGCTTTATTTGTACCTGCCTTCTTTCCAGTAAAGGAAGCATTTATGGGACTAAGATAGGAGGTCAGTTAATGAAATAAAACAAATGCATGAGATAAGGTAACAGGTAAGACTGAAGCATCACTCCGAAGCACACCCGCTGTGAACAGGACTTTTTGTCTGCCTGTTTTTAAGGAGAGGGAATAACACCACTGCTGTCATGTTGGGGTCCTTAGGGAGTCATTAAACTGAGGGGGCACACCAGTCACCCAGATATGGTGAGTGGAACAGCAGCTCTGTCTTCGTCCCCTTCAGTTCTGAAAAAAACAAATGTTCCAGCAAGGGTTTGAACTGCAGGCTTGCAAACGTCCAGTAGCTCTCGCAGTCAAGCATTTCTTCAGCTGATTTCAGAATGCGAGAATGTACCACAACTTCTCTAAGAAAAACTGAGCTGATCTTCTCACCATTTCAGCAAATGGTATGCCAAGCGCTTATGTGAAACTGTGAGATTTGGCAGTCATTCAACTAAGGGCCCTGCTTTCTCGCCTTCAGGGGTTGCCAAAGCAAATATCGATACCTTCTAAAAACAATATCCCAGAGCTGCCACGAGACAGTGGCAGGGACTGGAACTACTGATCTACCTTTCCAAATAGCTAGGCATCGGTCCTTAGGTGGAGCAGGATAAGGAGAGAGACAACGCATTTGCCTGGATTTTAATGTTATCCTCAGAGAGCAAGTAAATATCTCTGAAATGTCAGGCTTAACATATCTGTATCTTTTGGCTACATTTTTCACTATAGTGCATACAGAAACTGAACAGCACAATTCCAGAGGCGCTGTACTTAATTGTAATTGTGGAAGTTCTTCAAGCCCAGGGCAATTGTGGTTTTTTGTTTCTGGAACAGGAGCTACTGTATATTGTCACATCCGCCATGTTGGGGAAAAAAAGGGTTTCAAAACTAGCTTAAAATATAATGTGGAGCTGCTGCTCCAGGAAAAAGACAAGCATAAAATTCCAGTGAATGCACATCAGGTTGTTCTCTGGATTATGGTTGATCTACCTGAAAATTAAGGACCAAAACAATCTATATGAAATTTTCTTCGTTTATGCAGAAAAATTTTGCTCCTCTTGAAGTTATAGTCCATAATATTCTTTAAATCACTTCATCACCTCAACATTTCTATGCCGCTCAAAACAATCAGAATTAGAGCACAAAAAGCAGGTAGGGGAAGTAGTTGGAACTATCATAGGCTAGGAACCAAGTAAGTCAAAATATTTTTGCAATGATGCCAAATTTCTGTTGCTTTATTGCAGGTGTCTGCACCACCTGATCATTAACACCTTTACTTCAAAGCAAATCCTATTGGGTTCAATGGGACTCAGAGTCAAACTAGTGATTACAATGGCAGGTGTGTGTACTACTCACCCACTGCCTATGTTGTTTTTAAAGTAAATACAGGTGAGAGAGGACTTCTAGTTTGATCAAGGGAAAGTCGGAGGAAGGGGCTGCTTAACCCTAATCCTTCTGGTCATTGGTTGTTGTGGGTTTTTCGGGCTCTTTGGCCCTGTTCTGAAAGTTGTTCTTCCTAATGTTTCGCCAGTCTCTGTGGCCAGCATCTTCAGAGGACAGCACTCTGTGCTCTGGTTATTCCTCACCTCAAACATAAAACCCACCCATTTTTCATTCCAGAAAGGAAATATTATAGGAAAAATAGTCAGAAGTAATTTTGAGCACAACAGCATGAGAAATCACTATGCAGTAGTGGTTTACTGAGGAATTGTAATCATCATAATAATCTTAGAACTGCAGAGCTGAAAGGGAACTTATGGACCATTGAGTCCAGCCCTGCTTAAGGAAGCACAATGGGGAATTGAACCCCCAGCCTATGGCCCTACAGCCAGATACTGAAACCACTGAGCTATCCGTTGAGTTTTTCTTGAAATATTTAATGTACTGGAACATAACACACCCTGATCCATCCAGACAGATCCATTAGCTTCCGTGTATATTGATGATACGATTATAAATGTCCCTCTGAATCTAGATCATTAACATTGGGGCAGGCTAAACAGTATCACATTTAGCTTTCTTCTGGATCCTGGTTGAGTGTATTAATATAAGTAGTCAAATAAGGAATGGAAAACTACTGCACTCCGCTGAGCTTATGCATTATATCTGGATAGTATAATCATATGGTCAGAATTCATTTGGGGATTTACACCAATGCAATTACACAAATCATGGGGGGAAACTGCCATGTGCATTTCCTTCTCACATGCCAGATTGTGTGTTTGGCACGCAAACAAGAAAGCAATCAGTAAGTAAGTATGCTTACAACCACTGGCTGATTCTGTTAGATTAAAAGAGGGGTGACCAAAATGTTGAACTGCAGCTGCCATTAACCCTAAACCCACGTAGCCAATAATGACAGATCACGGGAGTTGCAGTCCAACAGTATATAGAACCACCCTGCTGAAAATATGAATGATTGTAATAATTCAGAGACATATGTATTAACTATAGAATAAAAAGACAGGAAGGAAGACAGAATCCACATCTGTACACACAAGCACACTCATAGCTGCAGCATATTCTCACATGGAAACAATCGCTGTACAACTGGCAGATGTTTTAGATCAAATCCTGAAAATACTCTCTGTTCTAGAGTCTTTGGTGATGGCCATATCAAATAATTGAGTCTAAATCATTTGGTCCCTGAGGGGACCAAGGCACCATAGGCCTGGAGTCCCTTTTCACAGAAGAATTTGTTAAAATAAAGCCTAATGACTTGGGCCAAAAGGAGACAGACTAATTAAACTGACTAGCAAATCCAAAACTCAAATTCCTGTTTCCGTACACTTTAGTCTCTGTTAAAATGATGGCTAAAACATATGGAAGACATCAAAGACTATTGACAGTACACTATACTATATTTTTAAAGAGAATGGGGGGGGGGAGTTGGCTGTAAATTCTTATTCCTGTGGCCAGCT